AACCTTGCAGTCAGTTTTGTTCTCTGGACCTCAGGTCACTCCTATAAAATGAAGGTGGCCTTTAAGGTTCCTTCCATCTCTACTATTCTATTCTGATTTCTCCTTTTCCTCATTTCCTCAAGCCTCCTGGCTATCCATGTCCTCTCTTCCTCACCTCAAGCGGGTCAATTCCTCCTGTGTTATGAACTATTGCAGGAGACAATATCTGCTGCCATGAGTAATGGTAAGGGCTTCTGGGAGACTGAGGTTACAGGCCCTCTCAGGTACAGACTAAAGTGAAACATTAACTGGATCTTTGGAGGTCGTCATCCCCTACGACCCCTTGGGGCTGAGAGGGCCTTGGAGAGGGGTGCAGCCTGCTTAAAAATCGTTTCTCTTAGTCCCTACCCCCACAGACACAACCGTCTCTTTCCTGTGCCTTTACAGGAGGCAGTGAAAAGTGGCATCCATCGGACAGTTCATGCTGGAGAAGTGGGATCTGCTGAGATTGTACAGCAGGTAAGGCTTGGAGTCGGGCAGAGAGGCTGGGGGTGTCCGTGTCTGGGTCCTGCTCTCACTCTCCACCTCCCCTCTACTGTAGGCAGTGGATGTTCTCCATACTGAGAGGATAGGCCATGGCTACCACGCTGTGGAAAACACTGCCCTGTATGATAAGTTGCTGGAGGAGAACATGCACTTTGAGGTGAGTGGGTTGGATCGATTGAGCCTTCTAGTATACATCTGGGGATGCTCTGCCTAGGATGTGGCATCCTCACTCCCCTCATCCATGGACTAAGTCTTGGCCCTCTTCCCACCTGTCCTGGGGGAGACATAATACACTGTAGCGCTCCCTCTCATGTAGCGGAAAAATACCCTGGCTTTGGAGTCAGAAGCTGGGTTTGAATTACGCCTTGGCTACTTCCTCACTGTGTGACCCAGGTGACTCATTTTATTGGTTCATAGATGTTTAGAACTAAAAGACATTAGAGATCATGTAGTCTAGCTGTCTCCTTTTATAGATAGGTAAATAGAGACCTATATAGGGGAAGTGAATTGTACAAAGTCATACAAGAAGGAAGCAGCAGAATCAGGATTTGAACCCATGTCTTTGGACTCTGAATTCAGTGTTCATTCCATTACGCTGTCTTCTTGGGCTTCATTTTCCTCAGCTGTAAAATGAAGGAGTTGGATCAAATGATTTCTTTGAGGTTTCTGCCACATCTGGCATTTCCCCAACAGTGTTTCTCATTCTTCAAAGCATCATTTCTCACCCAGGTATGCCCCTGGTCGAGCTATCTCACAGGAGCCTGGAAGCCGGACACCCTGCATGCAGTCATACGGTGAGCTGGTGCCCTTCTGGTCCCTGCCGGGACCTTCAGGGAAGCACGGAATGTCTGGTTGCAGTCCTAGGATGGCTTCACTTATGTGCTATACTTGGGGCTAGCTCTGTCCTCAACTGATGACTACCTTGTGGTAGTCTGCAGGCCAGAAACATGTCACTAGCCTTGGCAGGCTTCTCTATCCACTGGGGCATCTGTCTCCTGCCAGATCACCGAGGGATCGGACACAAGTGGTGGTTTCTTGTATGGTAGGGTTTAGTGCCTGCTTTGCCTGCAGCCTAATTCCCCTCAGGTTTGTTGGGCTCCACTGACACATGATTGGGGTCTTACCTACAGGTTGGTCCCCCTGCAGCCCTGGTGCCTTACTTTCCTGGGTCTCTTTGCTAGTGCCATGGTCCTAAAGTTGGACTTTCTCATTCCCTGCTTCCTATACCTTAGGACAGTTTCCCGGGTACTCTGGGCCTTCAGGCCTTCTCCTACTGGTGGCATCTTCATTCCCTCCCACACCATGTGTCCACCTTTCTGGAAGTCCCACACCCGGGGATGTGAATCCACTGACCTATAAAACACATTATATGATAGTTGTCTAACCCCTTCTGTGAGACGAGACTGTCTTATTGTTAGAGGTAGTACTCTGCAAAATATGTATGTTTAATACATATTTGAATTCACAAATATGATAGGCCCAGAAGTGTCTTCAGGCCCCTGGGTAGTAATGGTGGGTGGGTGAGTCCTGTGTTCCTCAGGGCAGAGACACTTACCAGCATGAGAAGGGCCGTGAGAGCCAGCAGCTGCTCTAGGCTCACTAAGGCCAGGCCTGAGCCCACGACAGCGAGCAGCTTAGGGCCACAGCTGTTTTCTAGCAGGGATTCACCTGTGCTTTCCTTTCCTCATCTCTCTCATCTAGATTTAAGGATGATAAGGCTAACTATTCACTCAACACAGATGACCCCCTCATCTTCAAGTCTACCATTGACACAGATTACCGCATGGTAAAAACGCAAATGGGCTTTACTGAGGATGAGTTTATAAGACTGGTAAGTGACTGGGGGAAAGTAACATGACAGTAACACTGGGAAAGAAGAGGGCGAACCCACAGGGGTGCTTGTGCTCCAGCTCTTCCCCCACCCCAAGGGGCTGAGGGGCTGCTGCTTGCTTCTCCAAACTAGAAAAGGGTCTTAGGGTTCCTCCATAGCTCTCCCTTAGGGAAAGCCCACCTTGAGCAACCCCTTTAGGCTAGAGCTATAATCCCATTTTTAGACAACATTTGCCATACTAAAGACCAAGGGAATCGGAGACCCGGTCATCAATCCTCTATCTTATAACAAGCCCTTACCCTCTTCTTGGCCTGCACCAAAGTTTCCTATATATCTCTCTGGAGCAGAGCATAGTGGAAATAGCCCTGGACCAGGAGGTGACCTGCTAGCTAGTTCCCCATTCTGATATTGCTAACTGTGCAACCTTATCCATGTCACTCTGATACTTGAATCTGTTCCTTCCTACATAAAGCCAGGGGGCTTGTACTTTGCTCGGTGTTTGAAAGTCTAACACCATTTGCCACATTGGTTCTTCTAGAATATCAATGCAGCCAAGTCCAGCTTCCTTCCAGACAATGAGAAGAAGGAGCTCCTTGACCAACTGTACGAGGCCTATCAGATACCACAGCCAGTCTCTAAAGGTAGATTTGTGTCCTGGCTTGGGGTCCACTTTGTCTCCTTTGACCATTCTCAGAAACTCCCCCCAGGGTTGCATGTTCTTTCCTTAAGGACATATTCTTTCCTCTGTCCTTGGAAGGGAAAGCTATTGGTGTTCTCTTGGCATGGTTCCCTCCCCTGGGAAAGCCCAGTATCTCCAGGTAAGGGCCTAAAGAAATTCAGAAATAGATTCAGGGCCCCTCATAACCTTAGTGTCCCCTGAAGAGGAAGAGTTTGCCCTGAGCCAAATATAGGCTCAGGATTCTAGAGTACATGGGGATAGCTGAGACCCAAAGAACATGAATCTCTGAAAGTCATAGGATCTAAACTTGGGAGAAATCTTAGAGATCTAGTTCAAGGTCCCCCCCTTCCCCCCATTTTACAGACAAGGAAACCAGGCCTATAGAGAAGTGACTTTTCAATCAACCAATAAACATTTATTAAGGGCCTACTATGTGCCAGGCTCTGTGCTAAGTGCTAAGATCATACATATAGATAGTATATAGTAGAGATAGGCTATGAATTTGGGCCCTGGGTGAGTGATAAAACCTTCCTAACTCTGGCTTCTTTGGATTCACCCAGTGTCGGAGTGATGCTGCCTCCAACTCAACAGAGCAAGAGAGAAAAACTCCTGATCCCATAATGCCTCAGCAGCCACTATGCCAAGACTCAGGAATCAGACTCAAGCTTCCTTCCCAGTAGGGTAGAGCTGCTATAATCTTGCCTATTTTCTTTCATGGGACAATATTGATTAGCAGATCAACTCTTTTCCCACTGTACATACAGCCAGCTGTGCATTAAGATACCTCGGTGCAAAACATTTGTCTTGTATAGACTGCTCGCCACCCACAAGACTCAGGGCTTTTTCTTATAAATCTTTTAAAAATAACTTTGCTGAGATGACCGACTGCCAGGGGCCAAGTCTGAGGCCCCTCGGAAGAAGTGATCCTGCTGGGTGCTGAGGTGGGTGGTGGTGCTCAATCAGTAAACTAATCGAATCAGTTTGTGTGTTGCTAAGTTAGTCCAAGATTGAAATTTGTCTCTGGTTACTTTGGGGTGGGAGGACACAGCTGTGCACACATGTCCTGGCTCTTGCCCCACTGAAAGGCCGCAGCTGAGCCTGGTGCTGGCCTTCTGCTCTGCAGACCCCGGGCTCAGTTTTTGGCTTGAAGAGAACAAGGTGTCTCAGAATCACCGCCTGCTTCTCTTCAGTGCGCTGACCTGGTACTGCAGGGGGCAGGAGGCACTGAGGTCTCTCAGTGATCACCATGGGGCATTCTGGGAGGTGAGAGAGAGAGAGAGAGAGAGAGCGTGTGTGTGTGTGTGTGTGTGTGTGTGTGTGTGTGTGTGTGTGTGTGTGTGTGTGTCTGCTTGCAGGGAAACACTCTGGCCATTATCATAGTGTTTTACAGCGACCAAGCATTTTCCCATCTGCTATCTGCAAGATAGCTCTGATTTCGTGGAGAGACAATGAACATTTATATAGCACTTCCTATGTGCCAGGCACTGTGTAAGAGCTTTACAAATATTATCCCATTTGGTCCTCACAACAACCCTGGGAGGTAGGTGCTATTATGACCCCCATTTTACAGATGAGGAAACTGAGGCAGACAGAGGTAAAGGGACTTGCCCAGGGCCACACAGCTACTAAGTGTCTGAGGGCAGATTTGAACTCGCATCTTTCTAATTCCAGGCCTGGTGCTCTATACTGTGTCACCAGCTGCCACCTTTGCTGTGAGAAAGTGCTCAATTGGGAATCAAGTGAGCCAGGTTTGAATTAAATAACCTGTGTATCATACCTATATCGGGTGGCACCGAAAGGACTAGAACCCAGGTCTCTTGACTGCCAGCTCAATGTCCTTCCCACTACTCCAAGCTGCTGCTAACAGTGGGACTATTAGCATTTTCCTGGCCATTCTAAATTCCACTGGAGTTTGAGGTGGCAGAGCTTAAGTTTCTGTAAGGGAGGGTCTTAGGACAACACAACTTAAAGATAATATTTAATATTTCAGGAAGAAAAGGAAAATCAATCACACAAAAGGTCTGAATTTATTTTCCAAGTGGTAGGCATCACGTGTCTTTGTAGAAAGGAGACACAACTTAGTAAAATTGGGAAATAAAATGATCCCCTTAAAAATGTGTTGGGAAAAGGGCAGGAATCATTCTCTCTGAGCTACACAAGTCAAAGAGTTTAGATTAAAATACCGCCCCCCCACCCAATGCTTCCTCACCACCCCCTCTCCATGGAAATAAAAAGCAGATCTCCATTGTCTTTTCCTCCCCTCCTTACCGGCCTCCCCCCCCCCCAAGGTGGATAATATTTAAAGTCAAAGTTTAAAAAGAGTAAAAAGGAATTAATTCAGCTGGGTTGGGAAGGATCTCTCTCTTGTTCCTAAGGGTCACAGATGAGGCAATCAGCAGCCCTGAGGATAGGGTGCTCCCTAAGGTCAACAACCAGGTTTTATTCATCTTTTTTTGCTTCCTTCAGAGGAGGCACTCAGGAAATTTAATGAAGTGGATTAAGTGGGTCAGTATGAGGGATGAGCGATGATGTCTCCCCTAAGAGGAAGTGGGAAGGGACCTGGCTTCTATCTGTCCTCCAGAGGAAAGGAGCAGGTGATACCTCCCCATTCCCACCCCACAGGTATAAACCAAATAAATAAGGTTTTGAATTACCAAATACACTAGACTAGATGGGCCTGGAAGAAGGGAAGGTCCACAGTAGGCAAAACCACAGGGTTTCCCTAGGTTGGGGTAGGGCTCTTTAAGGCACCTCTGGAGGCTAGCCTCAGTCTGAGGTCCCCATAGCAGGGCAAACCTGCCCTGAGCACAGGCTTCCTCTGTGTGGGGGGTGGTGGTGGAGGGGTGTGGACAAGAGGAAAAGGAAAGTCTGAGAAGGTCCACATGGCTTCATTGTGCCCAGAAGGGTTACTGTAGAAGGAGAGAAGTGGTCCTTGGGGAGAATGCTGCCAAGTTTGCCTCTTGGGAAGCCCAGGCTGCTTGCTTCTTCCTTCAGCCACTGGACAAAGGGAATGGGACAGGGGCAGCTCTCAGGATGTGGCAGTCCCCTCATTCCCTTCAGGCCTGGTACCAGCTTCCTTGTCTGATGCGTTTATCTCTGCCTGCCCTTCTGAAAAGAGAAAGAAGGTTGAAGTAAGAGGATGGACAATATTCCTAAGTTAATTAAATGGAAAGGAGGGTCTATTTTGTATGACCTTGAACAAGTCATTTCCCTACTATGGACCTCAGTTTCCTACTCTCTAAAATGAGAAGGCTGGTGTAGATGACCTTTGTCCTATAGAGTGACATTTAAGGTTCTAAAGTTGCAGTTCTGGTATTTATATCCTTCATTCTAAGGCTCCATCTAGGTCTAACCCTCTACGTGCTGAGGTCCCATCTAGTTTTGATGGTCTGCGTCCTAAGGTCACTTTTGGGTCTACAGTTTCATGACTCACAGGCTCTGTCCTGTCACCCAGAGGACACTTGCCTGTTCCTTCAAGAGCCAGCTCCTCCATGTTCCCTGTCAGCTTCCTCACGCTCACGGCTGCCGAGTCGTCCTGGATGTCAGGGACGGCATTCCTACGGCCCGTTCTGTCACAGGAGATGAAGTCTGTGTATGAGGATTCAACCTCCATCACGCCTCTTGCATTGCTGAGCAGGGCTGTGGAGAGGAGAAAGAAGGCAGGCAAGCATTCTCAGTGTGTTTATGACTGCTCTCCAGGGGAGCACGTATCTTGTGTTTTCTTGGGCTTAGAATCAGCAAGAAGGAAGTTAAAAGGAGGGGAATCTCAGCTGAATAACAATGAATTTCCTAATAGCTAAAGCTATTGGAGTGGAATGGTATGCCTCAGGAGGTAAGAAGTCCACCATAACTGGAGTCTTCAAGCAAAAGCTCAAAGGGAGTGTTGTGGGGGGACATTCATACTTCAGGTGGGTGTTGGCACTGCTGGCCAATTAAAGTCCCAGCTCTTGAGATTCTATGATTTTACTGTGTATGAGGCTCTGCTAGGTGCCGTGGGGAAATAAAATCATTAAAGTGCAGTCTTTCCACACCCATTAAACGGATGTTCTCCAACAGTCTTTCCTTGGCCTTTTTCTCTCCCTGTGCACTCTCCCTTAGCACACTCAGAGTTTCAACTGTTAACTCTAGAAAGCTGTATCTGTCTCTCTAGCCCTGATTTACCTTTTGAAAGGAATAGTCAGTCAAGAAGGGTGATCTTAGTCTGTCTACACAAGGGGACATATTTGAGAGATGTTGCATAGGTGACATCAATAGGCCTTGGCAACAGCTTGGACATGGCATGTGAGGAGGTGAGAGATAGTGAGGAGTCCAGGATGACTACGACTCCTAGGTTGCGAGCCTCAGGGACTTTGAGGATGCTGCTGTCCTCAACAGTAATAGAGAAGATGGGAGGAGATCTGAAGGGAAAGATAATGAGTTTAGTTTGGGACATGTTAAGTTTAAGATGACTGTGGGACATGCATTTAGAGATGTGAAAGTAGGTCAGCAGAGAGGTTGAGGCAGGACAGGTAGATCTGAGAATCATTAGCATAGCAATGATAATTAAATTCATGGGGCTGATGAATTAGTATATAGAGAGAAGAAGGCCCAGGACAGAGCCCTTTGGGGCACGTGCAGTTAGAGAGCATGGTTGGGGGTACAGCAAAGGAGACTGAGAAGGAGCAGTCTGCTAGGTAGAAGGAGAAGGAGAGAGTGTGACAAGAAAACCTAAGAGAAAAGAGGGGAGGGTGATCAACAGTGTCAAAGGCTGCAGAGAGGTCAAGAAAGAAGAGGATTGAGAAAAGACCATTAGATTTGGCAATTAAAACAGTATTAATAAATTTGAAGAAAGCTGTTTCAGTTGGACGATGAGGCTGTATTTTAGGGGGTTAAGAAAAGAATGTGCCAAGTGATAGTGGAGACACCTGGTGTAGATGGCCTGAAGCATGAATTTCCCTTCACAACATTCCCTAGTTCACCATGTTCGAAACCTCACCTCATCAATTACTAAGTTACTGTGGATGCCCCACCCAAAACATCTGCCTCTGTTTCCCCACTCCCACTCCAGTGCCTCCTCATTACCACTCACCCAAGGTATTGAAGTAGCCCCTCCCACCTCCACTCTCTTGCCCTTCAACAATCTGTCTCGGTAAGTTTGTTGTGATGAATATTTGCTGAATTGAATACTTGCCAGAATAACCTTCCCACAGATCTTGACAACAGATGTAGTGGGAAGAGCACCGGGCTCTGAGTCAAGTGACCTGATTTTGAGTCCTGGCTCAAACCTGAGGCAAGCCACTTCACTTTAGTTTCCTCACCTATAAAATGAGAACAATAATTGTGTTCCCTGCCAATCAGTCAGTCATGAGACATTTGTTAAGCACCTACTATGTGCCAGGCATTGTGCTAAGTGTTGGTAACACGTTCAACAAGTTCACAGTCTGATGAGGGAGACGACATGTAAACAACTCTGTACAAGCAGCTCCAGACAGAACAAATTGAAAATAATTCACAGAAGAAAGGCACTAGAATTAAGAGGAATTGGGAAAGGCTTTCTGTAGAAGGTGGGATTTTAGCTGAGACCTGAAGGAAACCAGCAGTAGGAACATTGCAGGCTAAGGGGATAGCCATTAAAGAAATGCCCAGAGTTGGGAGATGGAAGGGGCTTGTTTGAGGACCATCAAGGAAGCCAGGGTCACTGGATCACAGGATACATTGGGGAAGGGGGGTAAGAAGACTGGAAAGGTAGGAGGGACCAGGTTGTTCAGGGCTTTGAATGTCATACTGAAGATTTTATCTTTGATCCTAGAGGTTATAAGTAGCCACTAGAGTTTACTGAATAGGGGGTGACATGGTCAGACCTATACTTTAAGAAGATGGAGGGAGCAGTGGAACAATGACAGACCATAATCAGATACGACAACGTCAGAGTTCATGAGTGTGGAAGTTCAGGGTGCATCTGTAGACGATGGCAGCATCTGGGGTATTATCAATTCGGTGTATAGCTGCAGTGGGGTGGCGGAGTAGGACATGGGAAACAAACGAAGAACTGATTGGAGGACAGGGTGCCTGAGGGAGCACCAACATGTACAAAGTCCCCTTGTAGGAAGGCAGGAATTGGAGAAGGAAGGCTATGATCCAGGCACTGAACTCATTAAGGAAAGAACAGGTGCGTCCCCGAGGTTGGTAGACAACAGCTACTAGAGTTTTGATTTCGTGGCAGACGTGGATTGAGTGAACCTCAAAGGAAGAGCGGTTGCTGAGTGATGGCGGCAGAAGGTGAGCATGGAAGTAGCAATGGGGAGCAAGGAGTATCTCACCACCCCTATCTCATGTCTGATGATGACTGTGAATGAGCTTCATTGTTATGAAGCAATATAAATGTATGTATATACACATACACATAGAATGTTAGCTATTTGCTCAGTCCATAATTTGTGGTACAGACGGTAAAAACCCACAGGAAGTTGGAGGAAGGAGAGCCTAATATAGCTGGACAATTAATTCAAGGAAAACCCAGAAAGGGAAAATATCGTGCCTAAGACCACGGAGCACAAGCCCGCCGGAAACTTGGGTGTTCAGACGCCTGCCTCGCTGTCTACGGATCCCTCCTCCCTGCAGCGCTTACAGCATTCTCTGACTCTGGGCTGTCATCGGAGTCTCCGAGGGACCTGAACTCCATCAGAGGCAATGCCCAGGATGCTCCAGCAGATGGTGCCCTTTCTGCACTTTTCCATAACGATTAAGGTGCCGTGGCCCCTGGGCATGCTCCACTGACATTCAGTTTCAGTGTCACTGATATATTAAAAAAAAAAAGTAAAAATCACAAAATGAGGATAAATGAGCTGCTGGTTTAGGAATTTTTCCTTTCTGAAAAAGCAAGGTTCTCAATTCTCTAGGAAGAGAACTAGGATCATGGATCACTGGATCACAGACTACACTGAGTCCAAACCCCTCATTTTACAGAGAAAGAAACCGAAGCCCAGAGAGACTGAATCTTCCCGGGGTGACTCACACTGCAAAGGAAGTGTCTGAAGAAGAATTAGAACCCCGATCCTCCTGACTCTAACTGCTATGCCCTGCTGCCTCTGTTAGAATCGTGGCAGTCTGCATGTAGACAGCACTTAACTTTTTATAAAGCTCTTCATAGGGGGTGTCTCCAAAGCCCAAGTGCACTAGTAAGCCTTTAATAGCCTTAACAACTTAAAACTGCACTAACACTTTGGGGACACCCAGTGGATAGCTGGAGCTCTGCAGCAGCAGCTGTACACTTGCTAGAGAGAATATGATGGTCACCATTCTATAGAAGGTTAAACTGTAGGGTTTTGTTTTGTTTTGGTGAGGCAATCAGGGTTAAGTGACTTGCCCACAGTCACACAGCTAGTGTCAAGTGTTTGGTCTGAGGCCGCATTTGAACTCAGGTCCTCCTGACTTCATGGGCGGTGCTCTATCCACTGCGCCACCTAGCTGCCCCAAAACTGTAGTTTGAAGATGTAAGATGACTTCCAAAATCAGGTAAGTGACAGAGCCAGGGTCCTAGGTTTTTATATAGTGCTGGGTTCAGGAGAATTTGCACAAAAGGCAGGGAAGAGATTTTATCTGCAAGGGAATCAAGGCTTCATCATGGTGTCCAGGTAATTCTGGGCTCTTCAAAGTTGCCAGCCTTTAAGAGTGGCCAACAAGCTCTGGTAGTTTATCAGTTCACTTCACTTGAATAAACATTTACAAAATACCCATCCTGGGCAAGGCACTCTGCTAGGGGTCTGGCTTACTTCAGTAACCCTAGTTCTCTTTGGTAATAAGATAGAAAAGCTGGTTTAAAATTTTAAAGTAAATTTTGAATTAAAAAAAAAAACAAGTACAGTCTTAATGGTGGCCTGAACTTATTATTCAAGGACCAGCCTGGTTCCTTCTGAGGAGGCTCCTCAAGAGAAAGTTGGGAAGAAGGTGCTAAATGTTTTGGCCACAGCAGCACTGAAGAGCATGTGCCTGGGTGGGAAGCACTGTGTACACTGTCGTGGAGGAAGGAACACTCGCTCCTATTTAGGAAACCACAGCTCCACTCCAGTGAGCAGTGTGTGTGATAGGGGGCAGCTGCTTACCCTGGGTGGTAAATTAGAGGCCCTGTCACAGAGTGGGTTCTCCAGAAGTGCTTTTGGACAGACTGATTTTTAGATAAATTCCAGCAAAGAAAGAGCACTCGAATAGAAGTTATGATCCGCTCCCTCTCTCTTTCTAACTTTTGGATGACCCTTGTGTGACTCACTTCTCTCTTGGCCCCAGTTTCTCCAACTGTAAAATGAGGGCTTTGGAGTATCTAGATGATCTCCAAGGCCCCTTTCCAGCTCTACCCTCTCATGTCAGCTGTGTGATTCTGGGCAAATCACAACCTCTCTGTGCCTCAGGCAACTCTCAAAGACTGTAAGTTGCTGACAGAGTCAAGGGAAAGAACTCCCTATAAAGCAATACCTATACAGTCACAGGTCTTGAACTCCTCTCTCACCCAAATGCTTACTGTTTCTATGACTTGTTCTTTGACAGTCTCATTATTTAGTGTCTAACCTTTATTCCCATCTCCCTATCAAGTATACTTTTAATTTTATTATATGTGCATTATGACATGTGGCAGATAGATGGTGCAGTGGGAGAGAGTGCCGGGC